GAGGCGACGGAATCGCGCGCTACGGCGGCCTCCCACGTCGCGGATCGTCATTCCTAGCCGAGTCTTTTCCACGCTCGCGACGTTTCTCCAGACTTAGAGACTTGACCGATCCTTTATATTTCGCCTTCATGCACGCTTGTCCGGAAACGACACGGTCCTCCACGTCGTAACAGCGTGCCCTCGCTGGCTCTTGGTGGTGTCGGTATATTTCAAAAACTTCCAAACATCGATATACACCGATTTTCGATTTTCCTGCTATATATATATACACGCTATATATTTCCTATATACACTATTTACCCCCTCTCCTTTGTTGGTGGAAACTTCGCCTATTCATATCTTTCTATCTCCCACCCTTGGAAATCCCTTTAGCCTAGTCACACATCCCCCGAGAGCGGCCGAGAGGAAACATAGGCGAGGAGAAAGCGTAGAAGAAAGTCGGCAAAGAGAGAAAGAGGATCAGTGTGAGCACGTCCGTTGACGGTGTTGATTCGCAAATAGTTGAAAGTAAAACGATTCGTTGGTTCCTGCTAGGCTGTGTAGTACACGCGGTTCTCCTAGGATATATACACGCTGCTCACTATTTGTGTATGTGTCAGTCTGTCTGCACGCGTGTTGATACGAGGACGACGGGGTTTCGTTCAGACGGCCAAAAGTGAATTGAACGATTCGGAGCAGATAACCAGAACGAGATAAAGTAGCTCGTTTTCAGAGCGAGAATAAATACGCACAGAGGCTTGCCAGAGGCTTTTTTTCTTTTTTAATATACGATCGAGCGTGAGTTTTAACGTGAGGATGTCGCACAAGATGCTGAGCCAAGGAGTGTCGGTTCACGGGGGCAATTCACAGGTGAGTTTTTCTATAATTATCTTATTGTTTACTCACGATATTTCTGTTTTTCACTTTCTTCTTGCTCGATTTTTCAACGATCGACCAGCGATCGTTTCAACTGTTCGCCAAGTTGGCTTCGAAACGGCGCGATTGTTTCTATGACGAATGCCACGCATTGCGTAACGACGTGCCATTAAAAATTCGCAGCGAAACGCTGACGAAACAGGTTTATCGGTGGATTAACGGTTATATCGTCGAATAGGAGCGGACATCTGATCGCGTGAGAATTAATTAAATCTCGGCGGAAATATCGGCCGCATGCACGCGTATAAATATATTCGAAATATCGTACAGCGATTATCAGAACAGAATTTCGAATTTACATACGAAAATTCATAAAACGATAGTTTTGGAAGTTAACGATAATTTCGAGTATATGTAAATAGATGTAATTTAGATAAATTATAAATATTTAATTTATGAAACATTTATAATTTACAATCGTGATAAATCGAACGAGTCAGTACCAAAGTCGTACCTATTCATATTTTTCATGGAATTGTAATTGGTTATGAAAACAATAATTTTCTGCTGAATCATATACTCAAATATAATTAGTAATTGATTAATTTTTTAAAAATAAAAAATTTTAATACTTTTATTATTACATCTTAAAGAAATCGGACTTAAATGTTTCAAAGTAATTCATCATTTTGTCTTATAAACTTCTTTCTTGGAATGTTGAATAAAGACTTAGTAATTCGTCGAATATATTTAGATCTAAGAAAAAAAAAATCAATATGCAAATGGACTAATTTCACGTGTTTCATGATTGAATATTCGGCGAGCATCGTGTCGAATTTACATATAAATGCAAAGAAGTCAAGCACGTGGTCTTTTTTTCCCTCCATTGCGCTAGTTCTACGAATTAGAGCACCAAACTGTTCCTATCGCAGAACATATGAAGAGTTGACTCAGCAATCAGTCATTTTCAACCTGAATTAAGAGTCACGTGGAATTGATAAAAGAAGGTCAAAACGCAAAAGTCATTGCGAAAAAATACATTTTTTGATGCGCATTTTTTTTCATATTATCTATACACATTGTTCTTTCAAATTTCCTTGAAATTTTCCCTCACGTTTTGGTTCCTTTCTGTTTATTTATTTTTTTCTTGTGATTTTCCATGATTACTCAATAATAATCAGATCAGCGTATAGAACTCGTGAATGTTTGAAATTGAATGGAATTATTGGAAAATAAAGATCATTCCGTTTTCGCAATGGATGTGAGATCTCTACTTTTTATTTCAAAGATTAAGAT